ATTACTTTATTAAAGTCTTATTTTATGTATATATATTTTTGTTCAAATTTTATAAAATGAAAGGAATTGGATAATTATTAATTTAAATGTTATATTAATTTGATATATTATCTGAAAATATTAAAGTTTTATTAGAAATAAGTATAATTAAAATTTGTTAGCAAATTTGAGAGAATATCTGCAACTTTTCGAAACTTAGAATAAATAAATAAATAACGAAAAAAAATGTTCAAGAGAATATAAAAAATTATTTTATTAAGTTTATCATTCATTGAAATACCTTGATACTATTAAATTTCCATTATTTCTGCAACATCTATCGATACGAGATAATTATGTACGTATAATATATTGGAATATAGAGAATCGTAAATCTAAAATATTTTATTCCAAGCATTATACTATGTACATTTGACTACTAAATTATATTATATTTAAATTCAAATTGAATGCCGGAGAAAATTAATGTTTTGTTTTTTCACGAACAATTTCATCGATCATACGATAAGTTTTGATTGAAATGAAATATTATGGTTTGCATTTGTTAATAATATTATAAACGTTAAATGTTAGAATTAAAATTTCATTTCGAACTTAGGCATAAATGAAATATTTTTTTTCCTTTGTGTCTTGAAACATTTCCTTATTTCCTTCTAGTATTTATATCTTCGTTTCGATTTCTATGATTTTTGCAATGCTCGTTTGCAAAAAGGCTAGAAACGATTTGAGAAAATTTTCAGCTGAGTCGTATCGGCTTAAGAATTAGAAACTTCGTACATTTAACTATGTGTATTGTTATCAAACAATAAATATTAAGAACTTGGCACTTTTCGAAACTTTTTTCGAAAATTTTTGTAGAAAATTTTCTAAAAATAAAAAATAACTTATATATTTAAATAATTTATGAAAAAAATATTGAAAAAAATATCGTAATGATACGAATTTATTTTCATTCAACTAATTGATTCGAATGGCAAAAATAATTAATGTTGCTTTTCCGCGATTGAACAATTTTATCGATCGTTTATATTTTCCAGACTTCACGCTCTTTAATTACTTTAATTGGTTAAATTTTATCGATGTAAATATCGTGTAAAGAAAAAATAAAAATTTTAATTTTTTATCACAAAAATGATTACAATCACCATTGGCTAATAATTTGTTAAAACCTTAGTTTCTTACGAGATAAAGCAAAGAAAAAAATAAGCATTCTAGATTTCGAGATTTTTGAGTTTCGAGAAATCGAGTTTCGCCAATCTAAAAAATTAATCGTCTCTAACAGATATTAAATTTCGAGTTAAAAATAACTATTCGAAATCTTTCTGAATTTTTGTTTGAATCAAAATCATTATTACAAAGATAACTTTACACATTGATGAAAAACGAGTGAATAGAAAATCTAATTATTTTAACTGCATAACAGGAAATTATTATCAAAACTATAATCCAATTTCACTTTAAACAAAACGCTGTTCGTGATAAAGAGCCAAAGGATATATCTCATTCTCGTACATTCTCGATAGTTTAAAAAAATTTTTCCCATAACAAATAAATTCTCTTTCCTCATTAATGAATGTAATCCACAAGAGAAGAATCTCTTAAGAACTAAATTATTTCATTTCACATATTCATAATAATATTACACGTAATATTTAAATAAATTTTACATCAAATTGATACAATCGTTGAGAGATTAAATGATATTTTTATAATCTATATAAACTGGAGAGCAATTTTAACATTGTTGATTATAATGAATATAATCTTTAGAAACTTTAGAAAAGATTTCTTTCTTTTTTTTTTTTTTTTTGATTACTAAATGACACGCGAAAAAACTGCCGCGTGTTTCAAAACATTTCCAACAAACACCTTCTAAAAACAATGTATAGAAACATTTTGTTCACGCAACTAAAGTAACATAATTCGAGAAACATTTGGGTTTTATTTCGGTTTCAAGGCTATAGTTGTTGCTAGCAACAAGTTGTCCATACACAAGACACTTTGTTCCAAACTGCGAAGCGTTGGCTGAAGAAGACTTGTTCCTTGCAACAAGACAAAATTTTTCATTTTTCATTTCACTTTTATCACGTTATATCCAATACTGCTTCACTTGTTTCCTTCTCCATTTTTTTTACATTCCACTTAATTTATACACTTAATTATACGAAAAGATTTCTATCCTAAAATATTCCTATCCTATCCACTATTCGATTAATTTAATAAATCAACTATTGTTCCATATTTTATATATATATATATATATATACGTAATTATTATCGATATCGATATTGGAAATCGAATCGACAAAGCGTAAATTGAAACAACGTTTATTTCTCTTATTACTGAACCAAAATAGGACAAACACGAAGAATCCTAGACGAATGATCGATAACAAGCAACGATTTTTTGAAAAAAAGAAACGTGGAACGTTGTTGCTTCGACGAAGACAACGTAGTTTAATAATAAATCGAAACATCATATGTAATAACAATAAACAATAAAACGTTGAAACGTATTTATTCTTTGCAAAAAAAAAAAAATCTATTTCTTCTAAACATGGAGACCGATTAAAAAAAAAATGATGTACGTAGATTGTTCAAGTTTGAAATGAGAGAATCATGGCCTTTGGTCAGACCTTAATTGACAAAAACCAATTGCGTACCGCTTGTGTTTTGCGACGTATGCATGTGCGCCGACAACGTCCTCGAAATCTGAAATAGTTATGACTTCGCGATAACAGAAAAGAAAAAAAAAAAAAAAAAAGACTCTCAGGTAGCTTATTATGTAATCTGATAGAAACAGTGCTTTTTATCCTATCCTTCTTTCCATTTTGCCTCGTAATTTTTGTTTTGGCATCGATTTCACGAAGTTGTCCTTATCGCCTATCGACTTCGATCAACAGTTTCTTAATGAATCCTGAACGTAGGATAATAACAATCGAAACATAGTTTCCCGCGAAAAATGACGCAAGGATTTCCTGCTTCTTAAACACAAGTTTTAAAAGCGATTACGTTGATATTAATCTAAATGAGACATGACCAATGTTGCTAATGACTGTCTATTTAAATATGGTTTAATGAAGGATTCATTTTCATTTATTATTTTCTTACGTTGAAAAATGAAAAGACAATATGCGAATCACAAGTGTGTAAAAAGAATGTTAAATGTTTTCGATTAAATTTTTAAAATGTCGTATAAATTTATTTTTAAGTTTATTTTGTATAAAGTTTAATTAATTTATCTGTTTTAAATAATTTGTTTTGTTTTTAAAAAATAAATTTGTATAGTTAAACTTTCAAAAAAAAAAAAAATGCAAATAAAAATACCGCATTATACAAGATTCATATGACATAAAAAATGAATTTATCTTGCAAAACAATTTTTTTAATTATAAATTTTACTTATTACGTACGAAAAAACAGACTTATTTGATTTAGAAAATTTAATTTACAAAACATACATTACAAAAAAAAAAATTTATTAAAATTCGTAAAATAAAAGATTTACGTATAATAATTTTTAATTGCGTTTAAAAAATAAATTTTTATCATCTTCACGAATATCTTCTAAAATAATATTTCCTCGTACCCTATATTTGCCAATTACCAGATGTTTTCATTGTCTGAAACCTCTTAGACATTGTCATAACTTCGTCGGATTTTTCCAATTTACTTTTCTTTGTAAGATAAATAGATTTCATATTAAGCTCATATATCGAATTATAAGGAAGTTATTTGTTAAGTGTAAGTTTGATAATAAACCAGTAAAGAATGATTTATAAATGAATTTGGCGAAGTTTAGGAGAGTTACGTAGAATCGAAAATTTTTGACATTTGACGCGATTTTTTCTTTTCACTTTAATTGCTACAAAAATTTAATGAAAATACTGATAGACATATTATTAATAAATTATTAATAGAAAAAAAAATTATTCTGATATGAACCGAATTAGATTATTTGTTAATCTCGTTCTGAATTTTATATAAAAATAAACTAATAAGAAAAAATTCATACATAATAGACATCTATCGAAAAATATTTTAAAGACGCAAAAAACATTTATCGAATATGTAAAAAAACGTAACGATTCCCCATAAGATTATAAAAATTATAATTGATTTTGTATAAAAATATTATACATTCATTTTGATTTCGAATAATTTCTAACTAGATTCTATCTTTTTCAATTATAAAACATAGTTTGAATCAAAAATCCAATAAAATAATTATATTATTTTTAACCTATTATATTTGTTTAATTTCATACACGAATCTCAGAAATAATTTCGATTAAATATGTATCTCTTAATATTAATATAATGTATAATTATAATATTAAATATTAATAATTGGTATTGAAATGACAAGGGCAAGAAACAGATGAAACTACGAAATTTTGCTTGAATTTAATTCACGAATCGAAATATAAATAAGACAATAATAATAATAATGCCTCTGATAATGACTCTTTGTATGATTCTAAATAAATAAAATTAAATATATATAATTATATATAAATATATAATTAAAAAGTAAAATAAATGTTACACGCGTAAGAACACGTGTTTATATTATCATTTTCGTCATAGAGTTTAAAATAATTTAGCAAATAAAAATTTTTTTTAAATACTCTGTTGCTATCTTTTCAATAGAACTTTCACTGTCATTACGTGTCGTAAGAAAAGAATGTTTGAATATTGAATAAAAATTTGACGAGTACAGTATCGATCGTAAAAAAAAGACGCGTTAAATAAGATCCTTTTTAGATATTAAAAAGGAGAGCAGATTTCTCGAATTGGGGTGAACAAGATTGTAGAACGCTAAGTTCGAAATGTTCGAAAGGTCGGTCGCTAATGTAAACAGAAACAGCGTGTCGCGCGCGCGATGCCAGATAGGCCGCATGCATCGAACCGAAGTTATTCTGCGTAGACTGAACGTGTTTCTAAACTGATTATAGAATTAATTAAAGGAAGAACATGTTTCGTTCGATGATACTCACCTGAAGATCATGACAGCTGTTATCCCTGTGACTGGCAGCACGAATTACCCCTGCACGCCACCCCCACTCACTAATCTTATTCACCTTTAGCTTGGTGAAACCACTCACCGAGAGAAACCTCTTTCCCACGATCTCTTCGCGAAACTTGTACGCCATATTATGGATCGGCAACCGCGGCGTGTCGAATCCGCGAATTCGGATCGCCAGCCGGGTCTTCCAATCACCCTTTCTCCTTCTTCTCTACAAGTTTACTTCTTCTTCTCACTCTGTTTCTCTCTCTCTCTCTCTCGCTCTCTCTCGCTCTCTCTTCTTCTATCTCTATCTCTATTTCTATCTTGCTATTCTTCCCTCTCACTCTCACACTCTCTCCCTCTCTTTCTCTCTATCTCGCTTTCTCTCTCCCCCACGAACTGTGCCGTTCTCTTTTCCTCTATTCCGATCCTCCAGCGAGCGTGCCTCTCCCCCAAAAAAGAAAACCCCACGTAGCACTGAACCGTAGAGAAGAACAACCGAGCACCGATCACCACTTCGTTATTTTTCACCAAAACACTAGAGCACAGTCACTCGGATCTCTTCTCTTCGTGATCACGACGGGCCAATAAACAACAGGGCCATGAGGCGCGCACGATCCTCTTCTCCTTTCTCTCTTTCTTCTCTCTTCCTTGGACGGTCGGCCACCAGCAGCAGCAGCCACTCCTTGCTCCTACATACGTGCGTCTGGACACTGGACCGTACACCGAAAACTTTCGGCGTTCGTTCCGTACATACACACTTCGCTCGTTGACACCTTCTTCTTCTTTCCTTGTTTCTTTTTTTTCCTTTTCCTCCGTCGCGCACCACGCAGCCGATCTTTCCCTTTTTCAGTCCGCTCCACCTGCACGTCCGTCGTCGTTGTCGTCTCTCCGATGATGTCCCCCGCGCCGACAGGATTTCGCCTGCTCTCGCCACGTCCAGGACACGGAACGAGAGGCACTTTAAACTTCCGGCCGCACACCGTGTATACTGGACACACACTGCTCGGTTGACGGTAACGGTGGCAGCGCGGTAACCAAGCACTCCGAACGGTACCAGTGTGAACGTGAGAGTGACACACACATGACCGGCCAGTGATATCGCGTAGCGCGCACTGCGGGCGGACGGCAGGGAGGCACGGCTCCTTCCCGCGACTCCTACCCTCTCCCCCGCTTCACGGCTCGACCTCCCGCCATCCTCCTCTACCCTCGAACACCCCCAGGCTCCCGCCTGCTCCGACGTTCGCGCCGACGCTCCCGCCCCACCCCACCGCTCACTCAGCCAAGCAACCGTGCCGCGCGCTACACCGCACCGCGCCGCGTCGCCACCAATCCCCCCCTCTCTATCTTCCACTATTTTTCCTCTTTTAGCCACACATCTCACCCTTCTCTCTCGTTGCCATCCACTCATCTTTTCTGCTTTCTTCGCTTCTTTTCTCTTCTCTTCTCGTTTCATCTCGTCTCCTCGCATCTCGTCTCATCTTTTCTCCTCTTCTCCTCTCTGCTCATTTCTCTTATCTCCTCTTCCCTTCTCTACTCATTCCTTTTATCTCCTCCTCTTCTTCTTCTTCTCTTCTCGCCTCTTTTCTCTTCGTCTTACCACCGTCACAGTGGTCGTTCTCTTGCATTGCTGCAACCTATGGCACGAGCGTGGGGTGAGGAACTCTAGGGCCGTAACACCAACTCTGAAGAAATACAAGGGGCCGTAATTCTTGGTGGGATGGGATGAAATGTCGATTCAAGGATCGTATTACGGGGACAGGATCTGGAGACGCAGGCGCCTTCTTCTCTTGCTATTCAATTTTCTAAATATAATTTTGGTATAAAGAATATAAATAGGAAAAGAGTACTTAGGATTCTTTGGAACGAACTTTCTTGTGTTCGTTCGATTATTGTTCTTCTCTAAAGTATACTTTATATATATATATAAAATGAACCAAGGTGCATGTAGTCTATTATTATCAGTCGCGACACGCATCGCTATTCTTGATACAAAAAAAATTGCTCTCTCATCGATCTTTGCCGCTCGATTTATTTGTTGGTGCATGGCCAGTGGTCTGGAAATCGCTCCTTTACATCAGAAATTCATTTAAATGTATTTTTATAGTGGTATTCGATGAGTGGCATAATTTCAACTATGCTTTATATTTAAAATAAATGTAGAAAAAGAATGATAAATGTACGTATAAATATAGCAATAATGTTTGGCAATATATTAAGATATAGTATATACAGATATATATATATAATATATTAGAAGATAAAAACCTTGTGTCTTAGAAGAAATTGTTTTAAAAAATGTCAGAGAAAATAGAATTTTCGTATATAAAATATTTATACATTTAACAAATTTATATTAGAACAATTAAAATAAAATGTATTTAATGATTTGATATTTTCTTGTTTCTATAAATACGTTTTAATACGTTTTAATTTTTAACATGTTAAAAAGTATTCTTTGTTAATAACGAATTCTGTATTTTATTCGTAGTTTAGACGAATTTATTATTTTTTTTATATTTATGTATTGTTATATCTTATTCATCCAATGTTCCATTATATAAGAATGATAACGCAATGTATAAAAATCTCAATATATACTCAATTCCGATACATTAATAAATTGCTCGTATCGTATCTTTTTAATTATATATAATGATAATTTTGAACTAAAAATTGATATTAAATTAAATAAAATCGTTTCGTTCGTGTTTATACCATTTAGAATTCAATAGTTTAAAACTAAATTATGATACACATGTATGAATTTTATTAATTATAATGTTTTATCTCGATTTCTAATGTCAGTATTAAAAAAAATGTAAAATATTTAATTTCTACATCAAAATAAGTTAATGTTTGCTAACGATATTTAAAAATACCTAACGTTTATACAGCCCTGCAGTCACGTGACGAAAACACGACGTGACGTCACACGCGCAGCAGCAGCCAGCTGCCAGTCCAACATGGTTGACCTGTGAGCAGTGGTGTTACAAACGGCCGTCCGCATTAATTGCTCGTTCTTTCGATCGCGCGTTACTCGTATAACGTTAAAAACCGTTAATATGATATCTTCGATCGTCTCGCGACTTGTCATGTGAGTATTTAAATTCTCAGTAAATGGAAAGACGAGAAAATAGTGTGAACAAAAATTCAGTTACGCCTGGATTCTCGCCATCGTTAACTCAGGATTATTCGATTCTGTTTGTCAATTTATAATTCAATTTAATTTTGTTCCCTCTCTCTCTCCACTCAATACGAGTCTATCTTTGCCTATGTCTTTTACTCTTCGCTCCAAAATGTAAATTGTGTAACGGTCTGAACGTCTAATAATCGCTATCTTTTTTTGTTTCATCTCTTTTTTACAAAAAAATTGTAAAGGGTGTCTCGTTGACATGGTCACGTAATGCGAATTGAATCAAAGGTGCAGTGCTCCTAGTGAAAAACTACACGACAATTCACGAATCTGTTTCGGACGTGAAGAAATTATGTCATCGCGTCGTCGCAACACGGCTCCAAGAAAGATTTCCATGTTTGGTTACAAATTCTACAACGAAGTCTAACCAATTGCGGTTACATTTGAAAATTGTCACAGTTGCACAAATGAGGTATCGATTTATTGCTGAATTAATTCAAGGCGATACCGATACTTCTGTGTCAAGGCATTTCAAAAACCTTGGTCTTTGAAGGTAAGAGGAAATCTGTACACTTTCATATTAGGGAAACGGACAAAGTAATCGTTCGTAAGAAGAATACATCGATTTATATTACGCGTACAAGTTGAATTAAAAAAAGTTCGTTTCATTTATCGTATTTACATAAATAATTTTAATACAATGGAACGAGTTACGTGTCAACGAAAGCATATAATTTTATTCTCGAAATGCCTATATCGCTTACATTATCAAGCTTTGTAATGCAAACCTAACCTAACCCGTCACTTGTGAGTCCTAACAGTAGGCGCCTACCCCACCATTATGGACGTATACTCGTGTTACGACACCTTGCGCATAAAAATTTGTCGGGAATTCAAAATTTCTAAAATTTCGAGTTTAAATGTAAAAATTTATATGGAAAGGAAAAATATTATTGGAGTTTTGTAACGAGTTCAAGTTTCCTCGTCCCGATCGATTTTTCGTATTAGCACCTCGTACATTGATTCAAAGCAATGAAAGAAGCTTGTTCAAACCTGTTTGGACATGTTCCACGATCCGAATCGATGCTCTTTTATTCCTCTGGTCTTTGTTCTTTGTACCCATTTTCTGCATACGTCATATCAAATGTTTAAAAATAGTCGAACGTACTCGATGAAGGACAAAATCCACTCCCTTAGTTCAACGATAAAGAAGAAACATGGCATAAAATCTTTTAGGCCATATTAATTATTTCCAGCATCAACAATAAACTCGCTAGATAACAAAGAAATATTGGCATGTTTATCTTATCTACGAAAAATTACACTTTTTTAATTATTCCTCACTTGTTTCAAGGCCTTATTTTTTCCGATTTTTCTTATCATTAATAAATATTTATATAAATATTCTTACGATTTTCCAATCTTTTGCACAATCTTTTCGCAAATATGAAACTGTAAAGGGCAAAATAAGATTTTCATTTGGAAATTGAACTAATCTAGATCTAGAGAATGAAATTAAACAAATTGATCGAATCGAAATTAACATTGTAAAATCGTGTGAGATCTACATCGTCAGAGACCAGTTTCCCTATAGTTAGCTGAAAGCCAGTCATCAAAGATGAACGACTGACCAAGCATCAGCTGATTGGGAACTACGTCACAATGATAGGAAGTCGTTCCACCGTGGCGTCGCGCGTTCTCTTGTTAGGGAGCACGTTTTGTTTACGGAGTTCGCACAACTTATGCCGCCGATAACACACACATACACGCGTTTAACAATCTTGCTGAGACATGACTCACACCCCGTTGTGCTTGACAATAAATTGAAACAAGCTGGAGAAACATTGATTCCAGATCGAGCACAAGGCGAGCTTCTTAAAATTTCAACCGGTTATTCTTTCGATCGATTCGTTCTACGATAAAGTGTTAGAATCTTACATTAAAATTTATAACGAATACGAAAAATAAAAATCAATACAACGGCGTGACAAATTTAAGTACCGAAAAGAAAAAAAACGTGGATGTTGGAATAATACCAAAAAAAAAACAAAGAATGAGTCATATATATCTATATATAAACAAGAATTATATATATATATAGTGTAATATAAAGAAATAGAAACTAAATTTCTATTATACAAGTGAAAATATGTTGAATAAATTTAGAAATCTTTCGCGTGAAACTTTGTTTAAATTTCTATTACGAAGCAATTCCATATATGAATTTTATTATATATGAATAAAATTTTTTTGCTGAAATACTTGATTATTACCGAATATTACGTAAGCTTTTATTACCCGAATCATGATTAAATATTATTTGATATTTTTATAAAATAATATTCTCTTATCTATTCTATATCATTCTTATTATATCTTTGATACAAAATAGATTAATTTATCAAACAATACACAATTATTGTGTTTGACAAAATTGTTTCAAATTTTTAATATTTGATAAATTTATTATACGTTATTTTAGAGAAAATATTTCGTGAAAATACTGTGTAATATGAATTTTTTTTGAATTGAAGAGAAAAATTAAATGGAATCATATGAATTTGCTTGCGCTTGATAGGTTCGAACGGAAGTTCGACGAAGCGTATTTTTAAATTCTAAAAAAATCATAGAACGTGAACAGTTATTCTGATTTTGGACGTAAAAAGCAATTCGAATTGCAATAATAATAATTAGAAAAAAAAAAAAAAGAAGAAGAAGAAGAAGAAGAGGAGGAAGAAACAATAGATCTCTATTGCCATATGGTTCATTCATTTGTGCATCACGATGTACCTCGACCAATGTTTCGCTTCTCGTTAATGTCACGAAATGTTATCCCACTTTTATTATATCGCTTAAGAAGCATGACTCACGTGTGTTTAATAGTCTTTGTATACACGAACCATTGTCTTTTTGCCGCGTTTAAAACACACGAGTTCAGTTTCCTTTCACCTCGTCAACGGCGTACTATCTTGTGTCGAATGACTAAGAACCTTTGTCTCTTTCCTTCGCTTCTTTCCTACGTCATTCCTAATCATTATTAATTTTCTTGTAACCAATGAATAAAGATAGATACCGCGTTATTTCCATTAATAGCTTATCGTCGAGTTTCGCAATTTAAAAAAAAAAAAATGAAATGAAATAAAATAAAATAAAGGAGGGATCGTAGGATAGGGAATCGTTATTTTTTTTTTTTTTTCGAAAATTTTATTCACCATCATCTCTTCTTAACCCGCCTCAAAGAGGATCTTGGGCGAAAGGAAGTCTGCGGAAGGAAACCAAGGGATGCTTTCTTGGTAGACCGGAGGAACGTCGGTCGGTCGTTGGATCGATGCCCGGTTGGCAACAGGAGGGTGGTTCTGCCGGTGGTGTGCACGAGCAAGGACGTTCGTGCGGCACTCTCCACCCTTTCTCCCTCCCCCTCTTTTTTCCCTTCTCATCCCTCGTTCTTTCTCTCCTTTCTTCCTCCTCCTCCTCCTCGTATTATTATTCTTGTTCTCCGTTACAGCTGTGCGAGGGGTGGCACGATTCTCTGGCGGTTTCTCTCGTGAATCGATATTTCGTTTCAGAGAGGAGAGAGATCTCGCATTAACCTTTCCGGCGTGTTGCACAAGCGTCTGACGGCTCTCTTCGCCACCTAGCCAGGGGGGGTTGTTGCCTGTTTATTTTTCTTTTCCTCCCAAATACCGATGAAAGCGGTGCATACTCTTTCGAGTGGAACTGCAAAAATATTTCTACCTGGAAATTATTAGGGAAATTCCAGGGAAATGTGGAAATTTTATCGAAATGCTAAGCGTTCGTACTCGAAAAAAGAAAAAAAAATAAAGGTGGCGCGATTAATTTTGCAAATGTTGTGCCAACCAGGTCGAGATAAAACGATATCGGGGACTCCCTCCCCTTCTTTCTTCTTTTTTCTTCTTCTTCTTCTTCTTCTTCTTCCGCGCGCACACATCCATTCTATTTGCCTAGCTTTTCTGTTTCATTCCCTGACCTATATTTCCGATGTTGCTGAAAGGCATCTCATTTTCTATGGATGCAAACTCTCTTGCTCTCGCCGGTGTGGTCGATCCGTGCGCGAAACATCGCCGCATTTCTTCGTGGTTGCCGATTCTATTTGCATAGAATCGGTGTTTGAGAGTGTTGCTCGAGCTTTTACGAGACAATTCCGCGAGGTTGGGTTGCTTCTGTAGATTCAAGAAAGCAAGAAAAGAACAGGGAGGAAAAAGTTTCGAATGAGAAACTGTTGTTCCGCGAGACAAATTAAACGTTGCAACGCGGTGAATGACACGTATGGATTCGTTGGTTCGTTGGACTATTAAAACTCGACTGCTTACTTTAAATATGTCAGAATATGTCGTAGTTTCGAAGGATATTGTGTTGTTTTCAATAATTTGTATAATATTCAAACGCAATTTACGGAATTTAAATGATTGATACGCGTGTATGCGCAAATTAGAAATCCACTAATGGTTTTACGAAGAATGCTTGAAAAGAAGTGTTTAAGAAAGATTGATGCAAGTTTTGAGTATTTTTTCTTCAAAAGTAAAATTTGGAACGTTCGTAAGGCGAAAGAAAGAGAAATAAGAAATATCAAACTTTGTGAAATGTATTTCGTAAAAACAATTCGATCGAATTTTTTATTTTTCCTAGACAAAATCAACATAAAATTAGATAAATAGAAATTCGATAATACGAAACAGTATATGACGAAAACTTTTGACAAACATCACGAACAATTTTTGTAGATCTTTCTTTTTTTATTCAAATTTATTTGTGAAAATTAATTTATCTTTGAATTAATGAATTGAAATGTCATTTTATTACAAAATTTCAAATTCTTAAAATCAATTCGCCAATTCTTACTTAAAGCTTTAATTCTAATTTGCAATTAAATATCTATTTAAAAATTATTCTATTTCTTCTTTTTTTTTTCTTTTACCAGAATGAACTTCATCCGATACATG